CCTTGGCCGCCGCCTCGCCGTTCCTCCCGGCTCCTCTCTCCTCTCCTTGCAGATGTCGGGGGTGCTGGTCATCGCCGCCTGGTGCTTCCTGCAAGTGGAGAGCCGGCACCCTGAAGTCATCACGGGCAGCAGCAGTCATGGCAATTTCCTGGACAACGACAAATGGCTGAGCACCATTTCGCAGTACGATAAGGACAAGTACTGGAACAAATTCAGGGATGTAAGTACTTCTTCTTTTACCGCCTACTTCGTGCCCGTTCCGTTTGACCCATCCTTTCAATGGGTGGCTGCTGGCTCTTAGAAGCTGTGGGTAGAAGAGAGAGATGCAGCTTGCAGGTGGCTGCTTGCAGGAAGGTTGTTCAGAGCTGTTTGGAAGCTGGCCAGACAGTCCTGGCGTTCTAGGTTACCCCATCGGTTGGGGCAGCTTGGGCTCGGTGTCCCTTTTGCAGAAAGCGAATGGTCTTCAATTTTCCTTTGGGGAGAAACTTTGAGCAAAGTTTCTGTGCCTGCTGCTTGCGAGGCTGGTTAACTGCAATATGATGAAACAACGTGTGTGTGTATGCGAGAAGGGAATATTTACCAGTTTGAGCCACAAGGTGGTAAGCAGCGAAGCATTTTTTTGCCTGCGGATTTTGTGGAAAACATTTTATTGTCAATTCTACTCATGGAGGTGTTCGATGCTAGTATAGGGTTGGAGGAAACAATGCTTCGACTAAGGGTTTTCTTCAGTCTGGAAAATGGGTAACTTCAAGATGTGTTATGACATGTGTCTGTACAAAACAAATCACTTCAAGCTTCAAATTAATTCTTGAATTCCCCTAATTTGAATACAGTTGCATGTATTGAGTCAATGACAGTAGAAAGGGAAATGCGACATTTATGATAAACGCAGTATTTACAGAGCTCTTCTTGCTTCTGTCATCTGTACGCTGAAAAAGCTTTCCTGGAGCACACGCAGAAAAACCTTGCTTCACTCTGCCCAGGGCTGGGTAAGGGAAACCCTGTTGGTGTTGATCATGAACACGTTGAGGTTAAAAGTGCTTTACTGCGTGGGATTTGTTCGCTGTGGCTGCAGTATGACTCTAGGAAAGGGAAGCATAGAGCTGGCTGGCAGTTCTGCTACCACCATTCTGTAAGAATTTGTGTTTTTGTTTAGGAAACGCTGATGTTTTATCAACAAGTTAAACTTTCATGCATTGTTTATCTCCATGGTCTTGACATTGTATCTTTCTTTGCAAAGAGGAAGTCAAAGTATGTCACTGAATGTCTCCTGTCTCTGCCGACCTTATTCTCTCTTATTTTCTGCTGTAGCTTTGGTCATCCCTGTGTCTGAGAAATCGTGCTGCTCTGAATCTCAGTTTAACCAAGTGTGGCCCTAACAATGGTATCAACAATGTCAGAATATTTATTTGTGTATAGTCACTGTGATGACGTCCACCTACGGGGAAGCTGAAGTTCTCCTACAGTAGGTGTCTGGAAAAAAACCTGCTTGTACAGTCACTACAATTTTCTTAAGGGGATTCTACAGTTAATATGGATTCATTTTTTTTTTTTTAAGGCTCCAAGGGAATCTTTCTTAATATCTGGTTTAGTCTCCTGAGGAATGCAGGTTAAGGATTTCACTTGTTAATTTCTACATCTAGCTTGATGTGAGAATTTGCCAGCATTTGAAAATGATAAATTGAATGAGGGACTGACAAATTAATCTGAAAATGCTTTTAGCTAGGGACAGGTGTATAGCAAGGGACATCTTTAAGCAGTCTCCAAATCGAGGCTTTGTATTCATTACACTTATTGAGTTTAAAGTTTTTATTTAATTTCATGCAGTTGTTTTGGTTTTATATTTTTATTGTTGTGGGTTTTTTGTTTCATTTTTGTTTCTTAACCTGGGGTCCTTGCAACTTCTCTTCTTGTCCTCTTTTTCCAATCACACTTGCAATTGTCAAAGAAATTATTCTTCTTCCTGTGGAAGATGTTCATGAAGATTAACTCTATCATGTTTTAAGGTTTTACAACTGCTTTTTTAGACTTTCTTTGTTTTGCCAAGCAAAAGCAAATAGTATAAAGTTCATGTAATGTTTAGGTATATTTCTACCCAGCTATCTTAATGGTTCTATTTAATTACTTCAGAACTTGGAAGATGTTCATGAAGATTACCTCTTTCATGTTTTAAGGTTTTACAACTGAAAGTGCTTTTTTAGACTTTCTTTGTTTTGCCAAGCAAAAGCAAATAGTATAAAGTTCATGTAATGTTTAGGTATATTTCTACCCAGCTATCTTAATGGTTCTATTTAATTACTTCAGAACTTGCATGTTACTATAACATTGTGAATGCATATGAGTACCCATGAAACCTTTTTATAGGGCAAATTAACAGAGAGTACTAATCATCTCCTGCTGAGCATTTTCCAAAAGGGAAACATATAAAAGCTTGCATATGTAATTGAGCTCTTAATAACTTGTCTTCAACCACGGTGATTTACTGCATCATAATCTTCTGTGAGAGTTTGTGTGAAAGACATACATAGGTAGAGTTGCTGTTAATGTAGGAGGTACAGTAGAGACAGCACGCTTCTTGCATGTAGAGTTGTTGTTAGAGGAAATGTGGTCCGTGCTTCATGGCTGTGTTGTAGGGGGTAAATTGTTAATACAGTTGTTAAAAGACTGCCTGGTGAGATGCAGCATAACACTGTTAACTGCTGTGTATGGGCTAGACTAGCATTTCATTCATAATCGTTGAATTATAAGGAAAATATTTTCCTATCTTCTTTCCCAACCTGTACCTATATATACGCCGTGACTAGATGAGGTTCTACATGTGGGCTTCACACAGGAGGCTGGAGTATGGAAGTGAAGTTAAAACCTTCTTGGGTCTGACATTACAGCTGTTACAGAGCAGAAGGCCTAGTTTATACCCTGTAAATCATCAGCAGCAAGGTTGCAATGATTATTGTAATTACCTCGAGTAGCTTTCTGAACTTTATATCATGTTATATAAATAAATTTGCACAAATATTTACATAACTGTGTCCTTATGCACAGTAGGAGAAACACTGCACATGTGGAACTAACATTTGATTGGTTTGGGTGTGGCCTTTTTAAACTCTGTACATGCACAAACATCTGTGCATACATGTGCATATAGATCTGTTATCATGTTGCAGTGCTGGGAGGTTTTTTTTACAGATGATATATAATCGAATACAAAATTTTAAATTGGGCTTCTCTCAACTTTCCCAGTTTTTCTTTTCAAAATCAATTGGTTGGTCAGCCTTATTGAGCTATGGTCTAATATGGCCTGATTTGAGAAGACAGCTATTGATCTTTTTTTTTAGTATGACCCATATTTCTTTTGGGCAAAGACAGCATGGTAGTTGCACTTAATGGCCCAGCACTCATTACTCTTCTGTGAAAAGAGAGCACAGAAGTACACCTCATTTGAAGTCATTACATCCACATAATCAGACTAAATTTTTAAGTCTGACTGAATTTAATAGTGCGAAATGATGACTTGTCAACATTTTCAAAAGGCCTCAAGGGATCTGGTTAAAACAATACTTTACAATACAATCTTTTCACATGATTTGAACACAATTTGTAGAACATTGAAGCGCTTAATTTTTATAAGCGAGCAGACCCTGTAAATGAAGAGCAAGAGCAATATGGCTGATATGTTGTGAAGCACATGCTCTTGAAAATCTTGAATACTGTCCAACTGTCCAGTATCGGTAATGGTCTGTTATATTAATAAGCTTTCATTAAAATCCAAACTTGATATTCCTGTCTGTCTTCCACTCCTTTTTCCTTGTCTGCCGTAGGCTTTCTGTGTGACCAGTCACAAAAATCTTAGCTCTGTCTTAAGTCTCATTTCATAGGTGGGGATAATAGTGTTTTTCTTCCTCACGACCGTGTGTTGTAAGCTGTAAAACAGAAAGGACAGAGCTCAGGATCTGGGATAACATGGAATTTATTATACACTTAATCAGTATATTGAATGTGGCTTGATACAGAAGTAACTGACTAGGTCTAGTTTAGTAGGTATCTGAAAAACAACAACAACCCTCAATCAATATAATTGTTACCAGAGAAAGAAAAAGGTAAGCAAGCTGGAGTCTAGAGGAAGGAACCACAGCTATTTCTTTGTACAAATTTGAGGCTTGGAAAAACAGACATCAGGGATATGAGAGTCAAATTAGACTTTTGATATTATGAAAACAAATGTTAAGGCCTTGATCTTTTGATCAAATCTGTTGAGAGGAGATCCTTTCGCTTAAAAGGAACTTGAGGACGAATTCAGCACTTGAATGTGAAATGAATTCTTATGAGTCTTGGAAACCATTTATTATGTGAATAGCCATAGACGTTATTGTAATAGGTCAGACTGCGACATCTCATTGTGTTCACAGAGACTTGGCACAGCAGACACAGAATGAATGTCCTCTTAGTGTTAGACCTGTATTTAATCAAAATTATATGAACAGACTAATTTTATTACTTCTACTTGGAGTTATGTCTATTACATTATTAATGCCTATATATAAAAAGGTAATAAGTTCAACTAGCTATGGATTAAACTGCAAAAAGGAAGAAAATTAACTTAGAGGATCTAGTGTAGATCCTTAGAAGATCTAGTGTAGACCATGTGAGGAATCTGTATGAACTTGAAAGCTAAGAATCTTGGCATGAACTCTGGTTTCAGTGCATGTTTATGCATGGCAAGCTGCTAGACCACGTTCTGAGCATTAACTAAGCTGTTTCTCTAAATTTTATTGCTTACAGAGTTTCAGTTCAGGCTATCACGTTACAACTCCGATGCACTTTATGCCTGGAGATGCTTTGAGACTGTACATGCCTAAGAAGCAAGGCATGAAATGTCATCATCTGTGTGTGTGCATTTCTTGGGCTTACTGTGGATAAATACTTACATAAAACTATCAGTAGCATGAACAGTTACATATAAGCAGATTAGATTAGCTATTAGTTTTCCCAAGTTGGCCACAGACTACTATTCCTTGATAGAATCCACTGAAGAGCCAGTTTTGTCAGTTATTCATATACATGACCTTTCTGAGCCTCTGCATTCCTCCTCACACCCGATCAGAAGTGCAGAGTTGGGTGTTAAAGCAGACGCAGGGCTAGGAACTGGGATTGTGCTGGCTTCGGCGCTGATGGATTGTTGGACTTCGGGCTGGCCCTTTGCACTTTTTCACTCCTTTTCCC